CCCACTCAATGTGATGGTGGTCTATTCAACCCAACGTAGATGTATCTATATCAAATAAATGATGAGCAACTAATGTGACTGACACAATTAATACAATGTTATATATATATATATATATATATATATATATAACACCTTGTCAGTATAGTTATCATATTCACCAGTCTTGATATTTTGCCCCTCTCTGCCTCATATTAATTATAGGTGCCTTACTCAGAAATACCAGTCTGTTTTGCCTTCCACGTCCGTGATCATTTGTTTTCACAACGAGGCCTGGAGTGTATTGCTACGCTCCGTACATTCCGTAATTGACAACTCTCCGCCGGAATTGCTGAAAGAAGTCATTCTCGTGGACGATTTCTCTGACAAACGTGAGCTTCAAATTCTGTCTATCTATTTGCGCGCGTTTCAGTCTATTTCTTACCTGTTGACACACATTTCACTTCTCACGTGTTCTCTTTCCTCGCCTCTCCCCGAGCCGCATCTCGCGGCTCCCTTGCATTATTTTCTCTCTCTCTGTCTCCCGAGGACGAGTTCTATGTAGAGCAGAGACAACATAACTCGATAAATTGTTACATTCGAGCACCATCGATATAGGTCTAGCACTATAATAAACCTGTGCTGAGGTTCTATTTCAATTTCGCTGTTACAATTTGCGCCGAAATGGTCTGCGATTTTTTTTATTTCTAAGTTTGCCAAATTGAGATGTCTGTTGAATTTAGGCACTAGGCAAAAGTTAGATCATCAACGGTGCTCCCTCTTGTTCATTTCAGCTCGGTTCATGATTTTCACTTGAAATGTGATGTGCCGTTTCTGTGTCCTCGCACTATCCATGGTTTATGCAAAAAATGAACTATGCAAAAGAAGTGCATTAGAATCATAAGTATTTCCTGTTCTTCCTTTTTGTAACTCTCAGTCTACCACTGAACGTGTCCTATCTACTCGGGCCTGGAACCTTAACGCAATCTAGTGCACTTGTTAAGGCAGCCATATCCTCTCGCCGGATCACAGACTGCTCGGTTAACACCTTCCCGAGCAGTACAGTCTGAGTTGGATATGATACAGTTCGTCCATTAATAACGAACATGTTCATGCAAATAGAATTCCAATGTAACCAAGAGTCTATCTCCCCATCGCGATGTTGTTGCGGAAGTCAATGTGAGGAATGATGTGCAGGAGTACTTTAGGATCTGTTCACTGCATCATGCTGAAAAAAAGAATTTGGTTAATCTGAGATTCGAAGACTAATCAGTGTGACATATCTGAATGCGATGCACAGAACTCATACCATTCGTGGCTGGAGGCTGTGCATCGCACGATTCGCAGCTGCATACGAAGTTTTATTTACACCCTTTCATCTGTAGCGCTCGATAAATTGCATACAATTCACGGCAACAACCAAAACAGTATACTTTACTAAAGTTTCCACCCGGCATTCTCCACAGGCAACCCCGGAACCAAACTGAACCGTTTCATTCTTTCTTCTGTTAGCTATTCTGCTTGCCATTCCCTTCGAACCCGCTCAAATGGATTATTCAGATTTGGTCTGCGGAAGTAGGTGACAGGACATGAAATTCTACATTTCTTTTTGTCCGTATGTCCAGCTCAGTCAAGTTAAACTACTACAGTTGAATAACAGACCCAAGCATTGTTCTGCAGTGTGTCCAGTGAATGGAATCCAATCAAACTTCTGTTATATCGCACCCCTCGAGGATTCCAAAAAGTGAGTAAAATCCAGAAACTGCGACATGGCATGTTGCTCAGTAGTGTATGCTTTTTATTAGTATGAAAAATCAGTTGGGATATTCGTGGCCAAATAAACGGGACTAGCTTCCGCTATTTATTATCTCTTCGTGTTTATTTAAAGCACAATTTAAATAGACGGTATCACCCAGTCTTTTTGTGCCAAAGACGTTTCAATCTTTTATGAAACCCTCAGCTTGACACTAGACCAGTGCACGCGGAATGCAGCCCTATTCCAGCCTCAGGTTGATGTTTGTCCTGAAACTATTTATCTTTCGTTTGGGGAAGTTTTCTAACTCAAATTCCGAATTTCAATTCTAAACTGTATCCCATTTAGTTTCAATATAAGGGTGACCGCCAATTGGGGTACATGGGGTACATCATTATCTAAAACGATTTTGGCTTTAATGACGTCATGAAATTGGGGCAATGTTGACGACTCAGTTCATACCTTTTGAACTTCAAGTGAATTCAACCAATCGCATCCTATGGAACCCTATAAAGAGATTGGCGCGTCTGCCGTCACACATCACAGATTGGATGGGGTCTATGAAACCTCGTCCAATCTGAATGATCTGATTTCTCCGTAGAAAAACAAATGTACATTTTGAGTGAGCTCCCGCGTGAGACTGAAAGTTTCGTTGGGATGGGGTTTGATCGTTCATTCCTCCATCACCATCAAGGAACGTTGTCCTTGACCGTTGACAAGAATGAATAAACCCGGGGTTAGTTACCGTCGATCGACCGAGTAAGAAAGCCAGTCATGTGAAGATGGATCGATGACTCGGTCACCAAGCTCAGGTATGGATGTTGGAATGGATCTTCGCATGAGTGGATTCAGTTTAGGTCCTCAATAGACTAGTCAATAAATTCCATTGAGGTCGAGGTTCATCCAAATAACACCCCTAACTTCGAAGCAAACGCAATTGTCTACGCACCTGTGGTATTAAAAAGCACACTTGATCAGATGCTCAACAATTTTACAAGGATACAGTGATATAATCAGCAATATTCCCCCTGAATAGCAATATCAAATTTGATCTCATTCACCAGCTAACGGAAAATACATTTTCCCCTCTTACTCCTGGACTGACCATTGCATTCTCTCCACAATGTCAGTGGGAACAACCTGTCACTTACAGCTTCCCCGTTTGTAACTAAGCTTCGTCACATAGGACCTCGTCCTCTCGGCATCATTTATCATCCTCGTCTCATCCTCTTCCAGTCTGATTGCATCTGTGCAACGCCTATAATCCAGTGAGTGCGATATGTTGTCCAGGATTCTACAAAATCCTTCCCGAAGGAGTAAAGTTGATAAAAATTTGGATGTTGACTGTTTACTGATAAAAAAGTTGTGAGAAATTATGTTGTATTGCAATACCCAACTCGAAAATGAATGAACAAATCTTCAACCATAGAACAGAGAGCCACTAGCAAATCGAGGTGTGAAGCAAAATGGTCAGTACCAAAATGACAGCTCGAAATACTCAGGTTCTTTGAACCTGATGTTGCACGACCATATTGGATGGTTTCATTTCCTTGTGTAATGACTTATGTCGCGAGCAGTCTTGATAAAGTGTGAAATAAGAAGCTTGGAAGCATTGGGCTGCTACTCTGCAGCGTGAATACTAGTGTTGGGAAGCGCGGTCTTGATACTTTCACGAGTATGCTCCGGTGTTTATATGTGAAATGGCAAATAGTTTTGTTAAATTATTAGTGGTTGATGGGATAGTATGCTTGCGTTCTACCAGTGGGGCCTTGGGTTCGATAACCAAGTGAGTCGATGGTGAAATCTGAAAGATTAAATGACGCAACTGAAGGTTAATTGCTGACCCAAAACGAACCGAAAACCGCAATCTGAAAACTAACTCAGAGATTTGATACACCATTTTAATATTATCCACCTCCTTATCATCAGATCCTAAATAAGCGATTTCTTCTTCAAGAAGACACTCGTAAGTAGATACGTAGCGCGCAAAATCTTCCATCAATCCTCTAGTGGTAGCAATACCGGCAGATCCCATGTGGGTTTGAATCGAGCTTTTATGGACGCACAGGCATCCGAGCCTGTTTGATCAGATGTATGGCTATGAGAATGTTCATTTCGGCTTTTATGTCGGTCTGCTCATTTTCTAACAAAGATATAAAGTATTCCAGTAAATATTTCCAGTACGAACATTTGAAATACCAAGCCATGGCCTGGTCTATTGGCTGTAACACTGAAGACTGGTTTGGAAGTAGCCCTATTAATTTTAGATTCTAGAGTTTTACGGGTTTGTTATGACAAGCGGCGTTATTTTTAAATAAAAAAAATGGGTCGTTTGATATCGGACGGTCAACTTTATTACAACGGATCGGTGATAACTATGCTCCAATCATGCTCGAACAAAGCAGTAAAGTGACTTTTTCTATAGATTTCTTGGCTCCAGAAACTGTTTATCCCTTGAAACCAATGTTCTTGCAGTGAACTACTTTTAATATTGAGCTGTTTCGTCAGCATTGAACATATCACACTTGGCAGATTCATGGACCAACTGCACCAAACCCACTCGAAATTCGTCCACTGCATCACGTCAAAATGCTAGTTTCTTACTTCGTAGGACTGATTATCAAATCTGTTTCACCTAGTGCAATGCCAACCTTAGGATGCCTTGAGGCTACCGTGACACATTTTTATGCTAGTTCAATCACCTTAGAAGCGATGTTTTCCCCATCATCCATCATGCATTTTCCTGACAATAATGAAGGTCGCATTATGAGCTGCTTTGAACTGGTCGCTGGTTTCCAGGTGGCATCTTTTCTGAGGTGCTCCAACGTTGACGACTCCGATAATCGTTCGATTGAATATAACGCTACAAATAGTATCAGTTGAAATAGCAAATGATTTTGCTACACAGCTCTGAGTTGCTTCTGAATCGAATGTCAATCTTCCTTTTATTAGATTTTTTTAGTTTCTCACTAGAGCCATTGTTAAGTAAACCGTCGAGATGGCGGCTATTGTCTCGAAACTCGACTCATTGCTTTACTGCTTCTTATGCTTCGTGTCAAATGTCTGAGAGCATCCTTTTTCCGGTTCTGTTAGTGTGTCAATGAAATTTATCTTTGCATTTTGTTCTCCACCCCGGTCGTTTGACATTGCGAAGGACACAGCTTACTTATTTGATCCACGGTCTGTCCTGTCTTGAAACATCGAACCGATGAATGCACCACCGGTAGTTGAACTATCTTTTGTAATGCGATTTGGTGGTACCCGGTCTCACTTTCTTCACACAAACACATGGTGGTCCGTGAATAGACTTATTTGATTGCAGTATTGCTACCGATCCGGTTCAGTTCAAATAATATAACCGCTCCGAATATTGTATGCTTGATTTTCAAACTGTTAAATTCGTATGTGTTTGTCAATGAGCGTTGTATCATGACTAATCATCTGACCATTCAGTTTATCAAGCTGCTGTAGCATTTTCATTCTCAGTCTAGTGCGTTACTAAAGTTTCCAGAACAAACATCGGTATTTGGAAAACAATTTTCACAGTTTTCACATAGTTCAAGTAGCAACGTGGCATAAAGAAGAAACCTTTTGCCTACGCTATCCACAGTTATGAATCAAGCATGTGATTCTGGAGATCGCTGCACGGTTTTGCCATTCCTCTTCTCCATTTTTCAGAAAATAAGCCACAGAAGTTGACGTATATGTTTGTTTTTTTGGCATATGGCGTGATTCTTTCTGTCTAAGTTCGACTGTTAGTCACGTGAATGACATAATTTCGGTTTGTAAAACAAAGTAAGGTATGGAAAAGACATACATACATATGTCATGAAGAAAAATTACCGGAAGTACCAAAATTTCTTCTGAATGGTTATTTTTTCAACGAGTTTCTCCTACAGAAATTGCAATGTTTGAATATTAGCCTAATGTTTCTTGCGGTTTGGTGCAATTTTCCACAAGTAAAATCTTCCGCACGACCGACGTGCTCTTAGTAGTCAGTTCCCCAACCTGTCCCAACGAGACCACGGTAACTACTACTAATTTGACATTTTTGTTTGTTTTTAATATCTTGGAAACGACTTACCAGTGGATGCAAGGTCAAGAGCAAATTTGACGACTCACTTTAAAACCCTTGTAGATAACTAACATGAAAGAGGAGATAAACCACCGACATCTCACCAGGGTTCTAACATGAAGTCACATGTGGAATTCCTGTGTGCTGCATTCAATGAACGCATGTGATGCACAGTCATTATGATCTATCACATACAACGAAGTTTACACGACTAACAATGGTCTAGATAGTTTTCAGTGTAATTGTGTTCCATTATACTTATCTTTACACTGATGATAAAGGACTCATAAATAACTGATAAAAGTTTGTTGTATAATTGATGAACTTGATCAAAATGCTGTATATCACACTAATCTTAAACCAAAGAGCATTAATAAATGAATAAATAAAAGCAGAACTTTCAACCGCATCAGCTCAATTTCAGTTTTTTTTACAACCATTACCCATGCATTTTCGTGCGCGGGGTTCGGCAACTGTCTTTTGGCTGCCCGTTTGGATGAAAGAGTAGGAAAAACATAAGAAAGTTGAGAGTAGAGTTGATGAGAAAATGGAAAACTTCAGTAGGTTAACGTTGTAAAGAAATGAAGAAAATGCACGAACACCACAGTTTATAAAACTCTGCATTATCACTCACTATCTCTAGCTCTTGATTACAATGCTCGCGTTGTACCCATCCGGAAAGCCGAACGCGGCCTATGTGAACAAGTTTCTTGGTCAGGGTTTTCATCCTCTCATGCCGGGTCTTAG